TGTAATCCCAGATACTCGAGAGGCTGAGGCAGGAGAATCACTTGAACCTGGGAGGCAGAGGGTGCAGTGAGCCGAGATCGCGCCACTCTGGCCTGGACAATAAGAGAGAAATGCCATCTCAGAAAATAAATAAATAAATAAAATAATAAAATGCATCTCAAAGCTGTTCTCTTCTCTCTACCTCCCCGGCCACCACCCTAGTCTAAGCCACCATTGTTTCTCTCCTGGCCACACTGTTACCTCTTGACCGGTCACCCTACTTGTGCCCTTGCAAGCCTTGCCTTTGGGGTCAATTCATTCTCCTCACAGGGATCTTCATAACATATAAATCAAATTATGGCACTCCCAGTGGATGCCCATGGCACTGGGAATAAATCTTAACTCCTTTCTGTGGTGCTCAATTGGGTACTCCCTGCCTGGACCCAGGCCTTAACTTCTCTTTCCACTCTTCCCCACGGTGGGTGGAACAAGAAGGAAACAGCATTTGCAAGGAATGTCAAGAAAGCTGCCAAATTTATCTCTACCTCCTTTCCTATTTCTGGGATTTGTCCTTCCCTGTGAGGTTGGACCCCAGCGGAAACAGCCAATTAGCTTCCTCAAGTCTGCTCCTGCCACCCTGGCCTTCTCTCTGGTCCTTGGCTGCCTTCCATTCTTTTCCTTCTGCTGTCTGTGGGCTGTGACCTCCGCCTGGAATGCCTTTTCTTCACTCTTCCTGTGGCTTGCTCCCTTCCACCATTTGGGCCTGAGGTTAAATGTTACACTCAGAGAGGCCTGTGAATATTCCATTTAGAGAAGGTTCCCCTCAATCACCTACATTTTGCCTTTACCGCACATGCATTTATTTGAATGTTTACTTGTTTCTCGTGTCTTGTCCTCTGCTTGTCCCCAAGTGCTTGGTGCATAGTTAGAAAAGAGACTGTTGTAGCTGGGCATGGTGGCGCGCGCCTGTAGTTCCAGCTACTCGGGAGGCCGAGGCAGGAGAATTGCTTGAACCCCGGAGGTGGAGGTTGCAGTGAGCTAAGATCGTGCCATTGCACTCCAGTCTGGGTAACAACAGCAAAACTCCATCTCAAAAAAAAAAAAAAAAAAAAAAAGGAAAGAGACTGTTGTTGATGTGCACAGTAACAGTAGCTTGCTGTAGTCCTGTATTATGCTGAGCACTCCACATGCTTCATTTACAATCATTTTCTGTGGCAGGATGGGCAAGCATTATCCCCATACCTCAGGTAGGAAAACTGAGTCCCAGAAAGGTTAGGGGACTTGCCTAAGGCCATGTAGCTGCTAATAAGTGAAGCCCAGGTCTCCTGACTCCTGATCAGGTGCTCTTCAAAAGCAGAAGTGAAAGGGTGATGCAGGAGAGGTGTGTGGTAGGTCACTGTTTCTAATTCTTTAAGTCTTTCATTGTGTTTTTGTCTGTCACCTAGGCTGGAGTGCAGTGGTGTGATCTTGGCTCACTGCAACCTCAGCCTCCCATAATCAAGTGATTCTCGTGCCTCAGCCTCCCCAGTAGCTGGGAATACAGGCAGGAGCCACCATGCCTGGATAATTTTTTGTAGAGAAGGGGGACTCACTATGTTGCCCAGGCTGGTCTCGAACTCCTGGCTCAAGTGATCCACCTGCCTTGGCCTCCCAAAGTGCTGGGATTATAGGCATGAGCTAACGTACCTGGCTCACTCATTTTTTTTTAATTGGGCAGCTCAGCATCTACATCCCTGCCTTCTGAAAAGAACAAGAGAGAAGGGGAGACAGTCTGGGCTCTGGCCAGAGGTGTGTGGGGTAAGGACCACTCTTCTTTCTTGCCAGAGAAGCATCCTTCCTAGAGGTGGTCTTGGATACCATAGAGACCAGCTGCGGGCTGGGCCGTGCTGACAGTGGGAGCTGGCTGGGATGCTGGCCAGCTAACTCAGACTATCTCTGGGCTTCATCTGCATGAGAATTGGAGTCCATGGCACTGTGTGGATTCAAACCCATCTACCCACACTGTGCATCTTTGTATATGTGTGTGGGGTCGTGCACCGTGGGTGAGGGCTTTTCAATTGCGTCCTAAGAGTTGGGTCCTCTCTCAATTACTTTAACTCATGAAATGGTTTCTATTTGAGAAGCAGAAGCCATGCATCCTTTTGTCTGCATTTACACATTTTTAGCAAACAGTTAAAATTTAGATCTCTCTTTTTAATTTTTAATAAGAGACAGGATCTGTTCTGTCACCCAGGCTGGAATGTAGCGGTGCAATCAACTACAGCCTCCACCTCCTGGGCTCAAGTGATCCTCCTGCTTCAGCCTCCCTAGTAGCTGGAACTACACGCAGATGCCACCATGTCCATGCCCAGCTAATTTTTACATTTATTTCTAGAGGCAAAGTCTTGCTTTGTGGCCCAGGCTGGTCTTGAACTCCCGGGCTCAAGCAATCTTCCTTCCTGGATCTCTCAAAGTGCTGGGATTACAGGTATGAGCCACCATGACCAGCTTAGATTTCTCTCCAAAAAGTGCAAATAGCATTAAGAATGTAGTTCCAATTTTCTGAGTGTACAAAGGGTGCAGAAATGATCATGTCCATTCTGTTTTAGGGACCTGGCAATGGCACAGCAATCAATCCGGTCATGTCCAGATTGACCACCCACATCCCACCCTTCCTTTCTGGTTTCTTCTCCAGCTCCAAACCCCAAACCTCTCACCACTCCCCCTGTGCTCTTTCCTGAGCTTAACCTTCCCCCTGCTCTTCCTCCAGTGCTCCTCTTGGAGGCCTCTGCTCACTCAGGAAGCCTGTTCAAATATCCTGGCCCTTGTGAGGACCTGGCTGACCCCCCAGACTTGGTCCTCCACCTTCTGCCTGCTCATGGCAATATGTTCAGATCTCCATTGAGGCTTCCGTTATGGGGCCTGCATGCATGTTTATGAGTCAGCCCCTGGAAGCAGATCTGGGTCTTCATATTAATACGACTGCTATAGTTTGGATGTTTATTCTCAAACCTCATGTTGAAATTCTCAATGGTGGAAGTGAGGGCCTAATGGGAGGTGTTTGGGTCACAGGGACAGATGCCTCATGAGAAATCTGTATTATTCACGAATTAATAATATATCAATCATTAAATAACAATAATATACAAATTATTTTATGTATCAATTATATAATTAGCAATATACTAATTATAATCACATATCATTAATATGTCAATTATATAATTACATTAACAATAAATTATTATATGATCATTACCAATATATTAATTGTATAATTAATATATTATGTTATAGGTATCATTTATAATATACTAATTATTATATATTAATCTATATTATCAATATAGATTAATAATTACTTAATATTCTTTATATAGATTATTATTAAGATTATATAATACCCTCCTTGAGTGGGTGGTGAGTGAGTTCTTGCTCTATTAGTCTCATGAGAACCAGCTGTTAAAATGAGCCTGGCAGCCAGCATGGTAGCTCACACCTGCAATCTCAGAACTTTGGGAGGCTGAGGTAGCAGAATCGCTGGAGACCAGGAGTTCAAAACCAGCCTGGGCAACATAGAGAGACCCTGTCTCTACCAAAAATAAAACCAAAACAATCCACCCAGGGCAGAGTGTACATGTCTGCAGTTCTGGCTCCTTGGAGGCTGAGGTGAGAGGATCGCTGATTGTACTACTGCAGTCCTGCACTCCAGCCTGGGCGACAAATTGAGACCCTGCCTTAAAAAAAAAAAACAGCCAGGGCATCTCCCCTCTCTTCTGTCTTGCTTCCCCCCTCACCACGTGATCCCTGCACAGCTGGCTTTCCCAGAGAGTGGAAGCAGCCTGAGGCCCTCACCAGATGCAGATACCCCACCTTGAACTTCTCCAGACATCAGAATCATCAGCCAAATAAGCCTTTTTTGTTTTGTTTTGTTTTGAGACAGTCTTACTCTGTCACCCAGGCTGGAGTGCAATTGCACGATCTCACTTCACTGCAACCTCTGCCTCCCAGGTTTGAGCAATTCTGCTGCTCCAGTCTCCTGAGTAGCTGGGACTACAGGCATGTGCCACCACACCTGGCTAATGTTTGTATTTTTCATAGAGACGGGGTTTCACTATGTTGGCCGTGCTGGTCTTGAACTCTGGACCTCGGCCTCCCAAAGTGCTGGGATTACAGGCATGAGCCACCAGGCCTGGCCAATAACTCTTTTTGAATTTATAAATTACCCAGCCTCTAATATTTCCTTATAGAAACACTAAGTGGACTAAGACAACAACCTACCACAGTGTCTTGGATATAACAGGTGCTCAGAAAAGTGCTGGGTAGGCTGGGTGCGGTGGCTCATACCTATAATCCCAGCACTTTGGAAGGCCAAGGCAGGTGTATCACCTGAGGTTAGGAGTTCGAGAGCAGCCTGGCCAACATGGTGAAACCCCATCTCTACTAAAAATACTAAAAATTAGCCGGGTGTGGTGGTGTGTGCCTGTAATCCAGCTACGTGGGAGCATGAGGCAAGAGAATTGGTTGAACCTGGGAGACAGAGGTTGCAGCGAGCCAAGAGTACACACTGCAGGAATGCTGAGGTAGTTAATTCAGTGCCCAGGTCTGAAGGCACAGACCCCTGAATCCTCCTCCTGCATCTTCCTTCCTGGGCCCCTCTCTGAGCCTCAGTGCCCTCATCAGTAAGAGAGGGGGGAATCAGTAACAGCTCCCACCTCAGAGGCCATCGGGAGTTGTGAAGATGAACTTTACAAGGGTGGATGTACAACACTCAGCACAGCCTATGGCCCCCAACAAGCACCCAGTACATGGCAAGGACGACTAACAGGAAACTTGAAGTCCGGTCACCTAACTCCCAGGAAGGAGCCTGGTAACCTGAGAGGACATCTCGTAGAAACGCTGCCTGCTGGTGGGTAGGCTTGGTGAGGGCTGGGATGAGCCCTCCTTCCTGACAGATCCCTGGTTCCCCTCCACCCCAGGGCCCTGTTCACAAACCCTCTCCAGCTCTGCTGCCTCTTCCCTCAGGCCACACACACACAGGATCTTAGGGATTCTTTATTGAATCATAGACAACTCAGGGCATCAGGCCCCAGCAGCTGCATTAGAATCCACCTGGGACTGTGAAGGGACTGGAGGGGAAGTGGGGAGAAGACCCACTCTCCCCGGCTTTTCACTACAGGGCCTAAAAACATCAGAAATCACCCCAAGAGAAAGGACGTACGAAATGCCCACCAGAAGGGCAGGGGAGTGAAAGCCACCCTGAGGGCAGGAGGGTGTGGCGAAGGGTGCTGTGGTCCCGACATTTGTGTGTCCCCACCACCACCAACCAGCAAATTCACATGTTGGAATCCCCACCCACAAGGTGACGGTATTAGGAGGTGGAGCCTTTGGAGCTGATTGCGTCACAGGGGTGGAGCCCTCATGAATGGGATTAGTGTCCTTATAAAAGAGGCAGGAGGGAGCTTGCTTATTTTTGCTTCTGCCATGTGAGGATACAGCGAGAAGGCACCATCTATGGATCAGGAAACAGCCCTCAGCTGACTCCCAATCTGCCGGCCCCTTGATCTTGGATGTCCCAGCCCCCAGAACCATGAGCAATACATTTCTGTTGTTCAGAAGCCCACCCGGCTTATGGCATTTTGTTATGGGAGCCCACTGGACTACGAGTGGGGCCAGGCAGGCTCTGTCGTCTTACCTTCACGAGGCAAGCGGCTCAGAACCAGGCTATAACACCTCCCCTGCAGAAATGTGGGGGCACCAGGCACACCTAGGATGGAAGGCTCTTAATCTGGACCTTTGCTTCATCAGCCCCACCTGGGGAAGAAGGCTTTGAGGGAGGCAGAACTGGGAGAAGAGAGAAGCGGCCCCCTGGCTCTGCTTTCAGAAAGCTGTTACCTGAGCCAGCTGCTGGGAAACCGGAGGGGCAGGTGTCACTCAGGGCCACAGGAGCCACGCCGGTAAATGTGGTGTCAGGGACTGGGGGAGGCTATTAAATGACCCTGCTTAACCTCTAAGAGAAGCGTGGTTCCCTCGTGCTCAAAAGCTGGACATACAGGGTGCAGATGGGCACTTTCTCATGATCCACCCTGTTCCAGCCCCTGGGGATCAACTGGTCTCAGAGGGAACTAGCTCATTTCCTCCCTCCATCCAGCCCACACTTTTCTCCGAAGGAAGGCTGGTTTGTGGGCCCAGAGCGAGGCTGCCTGCCCACTGCAGACAGAAGGTTTCCCAACCCTGTCCAGGTGGCTGTGGTGGGGCCACACCCCCCCTCCCTTGAGTACACTGCCCTTGCTGTCCCTTCAAGGTCATTGCCCCTCCCCATCTTTAGCATGATGTGGGGGAGACAGGCCCTGGAGGTGGTGTGAATGGGTTCATCTCTCACTAGGGTGCTCCCTTGGGAAGGACAAAAGGTCAGAAATAGGAGAGGGAAGAGATGGGTTTGGCAACTCTCTGATATTACTTGTAAACACTGGTTCCTTCTCAACCACCGTATTCTGATTGGGTCTGTAAGTAGCACCTAGTCCACACCACAGCATCCCTCTGAGGCCTGGGAGACCGCCTTCATGGCTGTGCCGGCCCCGCCTGTGTATGGGCCTGGGGCTGGGCCATCCAGGGTGCCTGCAGAGCTCACACCCCCATGGCACTCTTCTCGCCCTCTTTGGGGCTGGGCTCCTCTGGAGTCTTCTTCATCTCCCGGCCCCTGACCCAGGTGTAGGCGGAGGAGCCGCCCAGCACCATCATGTTGCTCGTCCACCAGAGGAAGCTCTTGGTCTCCTCGTAGTAGAGCACGGCCAGCACCGTCTGGGCACAGGCCTTGGCCGTGCCTGACACGTTGTGGGTCAGGGGACTGGTGAACTTGATCTGCAGTCCTGTCACATAGCCGATGGCGAAGCCAAACAGGCCACCCAGCGTCATCATCCCCCAGAAGTGGGCACTGCCCAGCTGGGCAAAGTCACGCAGGGCCTGAAGCTCCCCGAGCAGCAGGAGCAGGGGCAGGAAGAGGATGCAGGCATTGGCGTTGTTGTAGAAGGTCAGGCGCCAGATGCTGCCGTCCACCGCCGGGAGAACCTTCTTGGTGTAGATGGCATTTAGTGAGACGCAGAGGCTGGCCAGCACGCCGAAGACAGTGCCCAGCCACGACAGGGTGCCCTCTGCCCCCTCCTGGTCTACACCAAGCCAGAAGCCCCCTGCAGTGGGGAGAGGAGTGGGGGAAGGGTGGGGAAGAGGGATGAGGATGAGGAGGAAGAAGGATGGAGGATCTGACACCAAAGGTCACAGACTGACTCCTGCTGCCCTCCCCACACCTCCCCACGCCTCCCTCCAATAAACTCTGTGATGCAGGCAAAGCATTCTACAAGGACTCTGGGAGCGGCCCAGGACAAGAAAACCTCCTCCAGGATACCTTCTAGCAAAGGAGAAGGACATTAAAACAAATCACTTCCCAGTTACGTCTTTAATTACAATTATAAGAATCATAATGAGTTCCATAAAGTACTACAGGGTGCTATGAGAACCTGTAAGTGGGTGACTGTGCTGACCTGGGGCATCTGAAAGTAACATTTGAACTGAGTTCCGAAGGATGAGTGCCACTTAGTGATTTAAGGTGACCCTGAGTAAATGGTTTTCAGTGTCTAAGCTTGTATAGAATGCGAGCCTGTGATGTCATCATGGGGAGCGTTAAGTTAGAATCACTTGTGTCATTTGGGGCAGTGATTCCAGGACTCTCTTGTGTCACCACCTGCTCAAAGAGCTTCTATGGCTCCCACTTCTGCCATTGGGTCTACACTCCTTGGCATGCACCCTTGCCAGCCCTTCCTCTGTCCTGTGGTCGCCCCAGCCTCCCTGCTTGTCTCCCTGCTTCTTACCCTGGGCCTCAGTGTCCTTGCTCATGTCCTGTGCCAGAAACACCCTCCTCCTTTCTGGGAGATTCTACTCATCTGTCAAGGTCAAAGCTGGCCTCTCTAGGGGAATCCTTTCCTGATAGCTCCAGAACCTGGCCTCACTTTCCTTCAAAGCCCCTTGCCTGCTCTGGGCTGCTAGGCGCCTGCCTATGGTGACAGTCTGGTCTTTTCAGCCAGATCCCATGCTCCCAGAAGGCAGGGGCTGAATGATGCCTGTTATACTTCCTGCCACAGTATCCAGCAACATGGGGTAGGGGGGAAAGCTTTGGGGTTAGAGGGATTTGGCCTCCAATTATGTTCTGCAATTTAGAAGCTGAGTGGCCGGGGAGAAGTTACCTAACGTCTCTGAGCTCCAGTTTTCTTCATCTGTAAAGATCTGGGTCACCTCCCTGTCCTCCACTCCAGCCAATCTACTCTCCCACTTGCCACTGGAATGATTGTCCTAAAGTCCAGATCTGCCCAGGCCGTGCCTTGGCATGAAGCCTCGCTGTGGCTCTCCACTGCCTTCGGGAGAAATTCGACTCACTCACCGCGGCTCTCAGGGCCTGCACCATGTGGAGTTTGCCTGACTGGGCAGTCTCTTGTCTGGTGAGTCTCGCTGTAGCCCAGCCATGGAGAAGTGCATGTGCTCTTCCTTCTGTCTGGAATATTCTGCCCTCACGTCTTCCTCTAAACCCAGTTTCTAAACTTCCTCCAGAAGGCCTGCTTAGACTGCCCTGTCCCTGGGTCCCTTCCCTCCCTCAGAGTTCCCACAGTACCTTTGATGCCCCATTGCAGCCCTTACCAAACTAGTGTATCTGTCACCACCACGCGCTCCAGGAGTGTAGGAGCCGAAGTTACCTTTTCCAATCTTATATCCCCAAAGCCTGGCACAGTGCCTGGCAAGTGTTTAGCTACTAATTACTAGTAGTGGAATGAATGAATGAATGAATGAATGAAAGTTGTTACAGAGGTGGCCGTATTAAAGGGGGCAGGATACCTCCTACATCATAGGCACTCAACATGCAGCACTCTACTCTTTTTTCTTTGCTTTTTGAGACAGAGTCTTTCTCTGTCACCCAGGCTGGAGTACACTGGTGCGATCTTGGTTCACTATATAGCATCCACCTTCCGGGTTCAAGTGATTCTCGTGCCTCAGCCTCCCGAGTAGCTGGGATTATAGGTGCGCACCACCATGCCCGGCTAATTTTTGTATTTTTAGTAGAGTCAGGGCTTCCCCATGTTGGCCAGGCTGGTTTCAAACTCCTGACTTCAGGTGATACACCTGCCTCAGCCTCCCCAAGTCCTGGGATTATAGGTGTGAGCCACCATGCCCAGCCCAACCACTGAGCCCGGCCCTCCTTTCTTGGCAGAACCTTTGCACAAGGGGTACCCACAGACCTGCTGGGGGCTGGGGGGCAAGGGGGCAGAGGGCCATACCACCCACTTACCTGCTTGGCTAGAGCACCCCCAGCCCTCCTGCTGGTTACCTTCTGAGTCTAGAAGCAACTGCAACCTCAATGTTCTAGATCCCAGAGTGACTCTCAGCCAGAGGGAACTTTTTTTTTTTTGAGATCGAGTATCACTCTTATCACCCGGCTGGAGTGCAGTGGCACAATCTTTGCTCAATGCAACCTCTGTCTCCTGGGTTCAAGCAATTCTCCTGCCTCAGCCTCCTGAGTATCGAGGATTACAGGCACATGCCACCACGCCCAGCTAATTTTTTGTATTTTTGTAGAGATGGGGTTTCACCATGTTGGCTAGGCTGGTCTCGGACTCCTGACCTCAGGTGATCCATCTGCCTCATCCTCCTAGAGTGTTGGGATTACAGGTGTGAGCCACAGCGCCCGGCCCAGAAGAAGCTTTGAAAGGTACTACGTGATGTGGGGAGGCTGCTTTCAGGAGAAATTCGACTCACTCACCACGGCTCTAGGGGAGGGGAGGCCTAGAATACTTGCCTGAGACTCATCTTCCCCCAGATAGGGGGCCAGGTCCTGGGCCAGCAGAGAGCACCCACCTCCCTGGCCCCTGTCCCAGTCAGGCAGGCCAGTGAACACACCGTTCTCAGAAGCTACCTCACCATAAGCTACTTGGATTACTTTTGGGATTTGGGCCCAGTTACTCTAGTGACTTTACCTTCCTGCAAGCAAATTCTCCTACTGGGAGAGTCAGCAGGAATGTAGTAGAGAGCCCTGGGATATCTGAGGAAGACAGGGTGGAGGGGAGGTGCACCTGCTCCCCAGAGGTGGAAGTGGAAGCAGGCTTCGAGAGTTCTGGCAGGGAAGGGTCTTGGCTGCTCTTTCCACTCTAACCATGACCTTCCCCCATCTCTCCTCTTGGACCTAGACCCAGCAGCCCTAGATCCAGCAGTTGCTCAACAAGAAGAAACATTTTCTAGGACAGGTGGCCTGGGATGGGTCCCTTCCCCCACCAACTGGTGCATCTAGCCTGGGACTCTGAGCCACCAGCAAAGAATATAATATATGGGCCAAATAAGAAACTTTATGGCACTAGGAAAAACCTGTACAGGTTCAAATGAAAAGTCCATTCCTAGATGACACAGCCCTGGGAAGACTAAGACGGAATGGGATGCTGGAGGCTCTCTAACCCGCTATGGGGCCCAGTAAAATACGCAGTGATGGATATGTTCTATACCCTGTGCTGTCCAATACGGTAGCCCTCAGCCACATGTGGCTGCTGAGCCCTTGAAATGTGGCTAGAGAATCAGGTTGTAACATCTGCAAATGAGGAAATGAATGTTTCACATTTTGCTGAATTTTAATTAATTTAAATAAGTGGCCAGTGGCTACTGTATTGAATACCGAAGTTCTAACCTCCAAGAAGAGCAGAGTGGGTAGAAGCACAGACCTAGGAGTCTGGCCAATCTGGGTTTGCATCCCAGCCTAGCTACTTGCTAGCTGTGTGGCCCTGGGCAAGTAACATAACCTCTCTGAGTTTCTGTTTCCCTGTGTGTATGAAGATGCCACAGCCCAGGAGACCTTTGGGAGAACAAAGGAGATGCTATATGTGAAATAATTAGCACAATTTCCCGATCAATAATAATTATTTTTAAGGGTCAAGTCTGGGAAGACAGCGGAGGCCTTTCAAAGCATATGGCTTGCTACTGTCTCAGGTGCTATCCTGAGCTGGCAGAGAGTGATGGTATGTGTATTAAAAGATGTATTGCCTTCTACTAAGAGCCCTGGATGGGAAATCAGAACACTTGAGCTCTTGAGAAACGATAGAGTACAGTGGTTGGGCATGTGAAGCCAGATTGCTTGAGTTTAGATCTCAGCTCTGCCACTTACTAGCTGTATGATCTCAGACAAGTTACCTAACCTCTCTGTGCCTTGGTTTTTCCCTCTGCAAAACGTGAATTATACTCCCATCTTGTTACAAGAATTAGGTGAGTTAATATGGCTAAAATCTATGTGCATGGCACATTTTAATCACTCGACAAATGTCAGTTGCTTTTGCTGCTGTTGTTGCTGTTATTATTATTATTGTTCTTGCCCTGGCTGGGCTCCTAACTTACTGGGTGACCTTTAGTAAGTTACTGGCTCTCTCTGTGCCCCGAGGCTCTTTCTCCTATGACTGCTGCACCAGTGAAACTGGGACAGATGAAGTCCTAGGATGCCTAGAAGGGTTGTTTTTCAGGGTTTTAGTCCCCATGACCACCCTATACCCCGCGGCCCCAGCTGCCACTCACCGATGATGATGCCGCAGGTGAGCAGGGCATAGAAGGAGGTGGTCTGCTTGAGCAGCAGGTAGGAGAGCAGCACGTTGAAGACCGTGGTGAGCGAGCGGCCCACATTGTAGAAGGCCACACCGACGTACTTGAGGCAGAGGTTATTGAAGGTGATCATGCCGATGAAGACCACCGACAGGGGCAGGACGCTGCGGGCCACCCTGAGGTCCAGGCGCAGGCTGGGGAAGTCCACGGCACCAGGGCAGCAGGTGGCCAGTGCGCTGAGGCCCTTGCACAGCAGTGTGGTCACCAGGCACTGGTAGAAGGTGACGAAGATGGGGGTGTCCAGCCGCAGGGAGGGGCTGTCCAGCAAGTACTTATTAAGGAACACCATGGAGATGGAGGTGACCCAGTAGAGGGAGACCACCAGCGCGATCTGCAATGCACGCAGCAAAAAGGGCTTCTCCCCGCTGGCCTCGGCTTCTGCAGAGGGGTCTGAGGCCCCTGTCAGCGCCATGTGCAGGATCCTGGACCGCTTCAGAGGGGCCCTGTTCATGGTAGCAGAGGAGCTGGGTCACCCCGCGGTCAGAACTCTGATTCCCTGGAGTCCAGGGCAGAGAGCTCACTTGTGTTCTCTGCAAGCCGCAGCCCTCAACTGTCATATGGGGGCTGGCCTACAGGCCTCCCCAGCTTCCTCATGGATAGAGAGCTTCTGCTTTGGGGTGAGCCCAGCTGTGCCGCCCCGCAACCTGTTCCCACCCCGAGGGGGCTTCTGAGACAAGACACAGGGCAAGGGGGAGGGAGGCTAAGACGGTGGGGCCAGGACAGAGAAGACCTGTGAAGGGAGAGGAAGCTGGGGCCTAACAGGAAGGAGTCGCAGAGAGAAGGAAGGGGAGAGGAATGGCAGGACGGGGCAGGAGGAGGAACGCGGGGCGAAGGTGCAGGAAAAGGGCGCGGGGCCGAGGGTGAAGAGGTGCGGAGAGAGGGCGGCATGGGCTGCTGTGGAAGGGAGAGGCGGGCAGGGAGAGGAAGGCGTGCAGTGAGCAGCCGGAGGCCGGGCGCGGCTGGAGGGAGAGCTGGGGAGGGGTTAGAGGGGCTGGGGGCTGGGGGCTGCACGACCCGGGACGGGGCTAGGCTGGCGCCCACGTCGCACCGCCTTCTCCGGCTCAGCCCGGGAGCCTCCGGACAGCCGAGGCCACCTCCCCAAGAGGCGTGCCCAGGACTCACTTCCTGACACGCCCCCGGTCTCGCCTTAAAGGTCCCGCAAGCTCCGCGCCGCCCTTAAAGCTACAGCTCCGGTGAGGCGGCGCTCGCCAGTTGCCATCCCTGTCGTTGCTCTCCTCCGCCTGCTGTTGGCGGGGGGCACCTCAGCATTCACCGAAGGTTTTTCTGGGTGCTAGAGCCTCGTCCCGCTTCCTGGAAGAGGTCCATCACCCTCTCCCGCCCACCCTCAGCTCGGTCTGCCCCTGAGCCTCCGTCCCCCGACTTGGCTCGGCTCGGCCCGGCTCGGCCCGGCTCGGCTCACGGGCCCATGTCCCGGAACCCGGGCCCAGGACTCAGGCCGCGCTCCGAGAGCTTGGACCCCGCTGCCTCCGGAGACGCGCGTTGCAGCCCCGCGTCCCTCTGCCAACCCGAGCTCACTCTTCTTCCACAGCAATGTTGTGGTCCCTCCTTTCCCCCATTTTCACCGCCCCCAGGCCCCCTCCCGAGTCCGAGACCCCCGCAGCGCTCCCAGAGGCCGGAGGCCACGTCGCCGCTCTCGGACTTCAGTCTGTCTTCCCTGTGCCCGTATCGAGACCCTCTGGGCGGCCCGAATCCAGGCTTCCAAAGGCTCAAGGCAGCATCTCTTACCCTTTCCAGAAAATACTGTTCCCTCGTCCGGTCCAGCCGTCAGCTCCCGCGCCCCGGCCTGCGTCCCCGGGCCGCGAAGGCGACCTGGCGCTCACCTCCTCCGGTGCACTGGGCGCCCGCCCCGCCACCCCGCGCCGCACCTGCAGCGCCGCACCCTGGGCCGCACCCGCGGGGTAGACTTCCTGCTTTCCGCCCCGGGCCCGGGCGCAGTGCCAGCCTCGCCGGCCTGCTCACGGCATAGGACCCGGTGGTGCGGCGGAGAGGCGGCGATCCCCTCTCCCTCCTGGTCGTGGGAGGAGGCCCCCTCCTCTTTCCAAGGCTACTCCTGTCCCTGGTACCCCCGCCCGTCAGGGACCCCCGCTTCAGTTAGCGCAGCTGGCAGGTCCCGGGACCTGGCTGTATTCCTGGCCCGCCGCGCTCCTGGTTTGCATTTCCAGAAGTGCGTGCGGGGACCGCCCGGATTCTTGCAGCGGGCAGGGAGGGGAGTGTCCTTCGCCCCTTCCACGGCGGGGGCCTGGGAAGTCTAGCCCCGGGTCCGCCACTCACTAGGCAGCCCGGGGGACCTGGAGGACCGACTTCTCTGGTTCGCGCTCCAGCACCTGCGTTGAGCAGGCCACTTCCTCCGGTGGCCTGAGTTCTTTTCATGGTCAAACTAAGGGGCTGCTTGACCTGTGGGTCCCAGCCTTCTTGCCCAGAACTCTAGGTGGTATGGTCGAAACATCATTTTTGTAATATTGCAAGCACCATTTAATTAGTGCCATTTAATTAATGCGTAAGATGATGTCATGTCTGGGGTTTGCTTTAAAGTACCATATTTTTAATTTTTAATTTTTATGTATTTATTCTTTTTGAGACGGAGTCTCACTCTGTCGTCCAGGCTGGAGTGCAGTGATGCAACAATCTCAGCTCACTGCAACCTCCGCCTCCCAGGTTCAAGCGATTCTCCTGCCTCAGCCTCCCGAATAGCTGGAATTACAGGCATCTATCATCATACCTGGTTAATTTTTGTATTTTTAGTAGAGACGGGGTTTCGCTGTGTTGGCCAGGGTGTTCTCCAACTGCTGACCTCAGGTGATCCACCAACCTCGGCTTCCTAAAATTTTGGGATTACGCCCGACCTCAGAAAGATTTTTTTAAAAAGGTCGATAGATTAAACAAGATAAGCCATGTTGATAGTTGAAGCTGGGCATAGACACACGAGGATCCGTTATAAGAATTTCCTTACTTTTTTTAGTCCTTGATGGTTTTAAAAAAAATTAAAAGAAGTTTCTTTATTTTTATGTACATTTGCAAATTTTCAGAATAAAAAGGTAGAACCTATATAGGACATTTACTCTCTGATTCAAACTGCACCAACCTTCAGTAGAGCTGAGTGCATCCCTGGGTAGGCTGTGGGGAAATTAAGGACAGTAAAGTAAACAGCAGTCCCAGAGCGAGCCTGCCCCACACCCTACCCTGCTCCATTCCTCCTCAAGGGTTGAGACTCCACTTCTTGGTTATGGGGCTGTTCTCTACCTGGAGGATACCATCTGGTTACCTTGTCACTTTTGGAACCAAAATATCCCTGTGGGGAAGGAAAGTCTTAAAAGGGATTGAGCTGAACCCCACCTGGAGAGTCTACCTCTGGGATTTTCCTTTGAAGGTGTGGGTTTTGGTTTATTAAGAATGATGTGTGCCTGTTCCAGTCTCTCCTCTCCTATGCCCGAGAGTTCACCATGACAAATAATTTAATGACAGAGAGGGCAAACTTGTCTCTGAGAGGTACTGGTGACTTGGAAGGGCCTTCTCCTTGACACATTAGAAGGAATTAATTTGTCTGATGACTACTGCGACCTTGAGCTGGAGAGAGAGATATATATTGTATATAGGCTCAGGAGCAGTCAGCGCTGCGTGTGTGGGGGACATCTGGGCTCCCTATGGAGGCCAAAATACACCCCTGTCTCCGATCTCTCATCTTACATCATAACTGAAATCCTGTTGTTAGTGTCACTCCCTTGGATTAAGGTTGTAACAGGCCAGTACAGCAAGTTTCCTGGATTCTAATCCTTTTTATCCCTTACAAGGGAAAGGAGTGGTGGGATATTTCTTAGGGGGTCTGAGGACCCCAGGAATTGTGTACTTTGCATAAACAGTTTGCTTTTGAATTTCTCTAAGAAATCAGTTGTTTAAACCATCCACAAAGGGTGAAGTTTTAGATCTTGCCAAGAGTGATTACTCTGGGTGTTAACTCCGTGTGATGAGGAGCATAAGATCATCAACGTGGCAGCTGAAGGGTTGTAATAGTACCTTTATGGGTGTAGCCTCATTTTCTTGTCTTGGCTGAGAGCCACTAATAATGTCAGCAGGGAATTATTTCTGTCAGTTACAGTGAACAGAACTAACTTCCCAGGTGCAGGGGTCAGTGGATCTGTACCTATATGGCTTGAGAACTTCTGGGAACCACAGACATTGACTGTCTCACCCTCTGAGTTCAACAAGGACTCATGAACCTACCCTATGTGATAGACACTCCTAGTTGTCTACCAAAATTCACTCCCCCATTCATCCAAAATAATTGGATTGTAGCTAGTCTCATGGTTGCCCCATCAAAGACTACATTTCCCAGCCTTCCTTCTAAGTAGATGAACCATGTGACTTAGTGGATGGTGGAGGGTGGTGTCTTGGTGAGTTCAGCATGCTATAACAAAAATACCATAGGTTGGATGACTTAAACAGCACGTATTTATTTCTCACAGTCTGGAGGTTGGGAGGTCCAAGATCAAGGCCCAGGTAGATCTGGTGTCTGGTGAGGAGCTATTTTCTGTTTGCAGAAGGCCTTGGCTGATAGATGGGGGTGGAGACCTGGCAGATAGATGGGGGTGGAGTGGGGGTAGGATTCATGTCTTTTATAGGAGCACTAATTCCACCATGAGGGCTCCAGTCTCATGACATAATTACCTTTCAAAGACCCATCCCCAAATACCATCACGTTGAGGCCTAAGGGTTCATTTGAGTGTATGAATTTTGGAGGGACACCTTCAGTCTGTAGCAACAGGTGAGATATGCAACTTTTTAGGTCAGGGTCTTAAAAAACTTTAGGAGTGTGCTCCTGCATGCTTTTTCTTTTCTTTTTTTTTTTTTTTTGTTAATCAATGAGAGCTTGTTATGTTGCTCAGGTTGGCCTTGAACTCATAGCCTCGCCTCCTCAAGTGCCAGCACAACTGGCCGGAGCCACTGCGACATCCTCTGCATGCTTTTTCTTCCTCTTCCCATAACCTGGAAACCAAATGAATCTATAACCCAGTCTTGACCGTGAGGACAAGGACAATGTCTTAGGGTTGTGGTGGAATGTGATGGAAAGTACCAAGTTCTCCGATTCTGCGGAGCAGAGCCACCTGCCAGTGTGGACTGCGGGAAATCAACTTAGGTTCCTGAGTACCTACACAGTTCTAAAGGGGTCTCTTTGCTACAGCAGCAAGGCCTTTACCCACATGCCTACTGGAATGTAATTTTCTCCTCACACACATATTTTCTAGGCACAATTCAGAAGGCATGAAATTGTTTAGTCTAATCTCTCTGTTCCTGTCTCTCTCTTTTGCTTTCTCTCTTGCAGTTTCCCATCCATCCATCCATCCATCCATCCGTTCATCCATCAATCTATCCATCCATCTATTCATCCATCCATCAATCTATCCATCCATCTATTCATCCATCCATCAATCATCCATCCATCCATTCATTCATCAATCTATCAATCATCCATCCACCATCCACCCATCCATCCATTCATCCATCCATCTATCAATCATCCATCCATCCATCCATCCATCCATCCATCCATCCTGTCCTTATCCAGGATCTAGCGCAATGACTGCCACAGTAGGTGCCTAGTGCCTCTTTGTGGAATGAATGGAAGTCAGACTGTGGGTGGGAATGCCTGGAAATCAGGGCCAATTTAAGAACGTTATTAACCCTAATCCCTGAAAAGTTTATAAGGCTTCTCATTCATCCCACATATAATTCAAAATAAAAATTAATATGAAACGACAAAATGCATGTAAGCAGAGTAAAAATCTTTTTTTTTCTCATTACTGGAATGCTCTTTTGCAAATAGCAAGTTATTTCCAGAAAAAAAAGTATGTCTTCCTTTGCTAGTACTTGTGGCAGATATTACCAATCATCTATTTCAGGAGTTGGCAACATTTTCTGTAAAAGGCCAGAGAGTAAATGTTTTAGACTCTGTGGGCCATATAGTATCTGCTGAAGCTACTCAATACTGCTATTAAAGTATTGTAATGGGTGCAGCTGCATTTCAATAAAACTTTATTTATAAAAAGGAGGGATGGAGAGAAGTTGGTTAATGGGTACAAAAATACAGTTAGATAGAAGGACTGAGTTCTAGTATTAAATAGTACAGTAGAGGAATTATACTTAACAAGAATTTATTGTATATTTCAAAATAGCTAGAAGAGAAGAATTGTAATGCTCCTAACACAAAAGATGGGTAATGTTCGAAGTAATGGCTATCCCAATTACTCTGATTTAATCATTACACATTATATACATGTATCAAAA